TGCTCTAAATCTCAGTGAAATTAATTAGTGTCTTCCAATATACAACTTGGCAGGGAAGTTTAGTCTCAATTAGTGGATACGAAGTGGGCAGTTTGTTCAGGGGCTGCAGTGGGGGGGCAGGGCTTTGCATCTGTGCCTCCTTACTTAAGCAGAGCAATAATGCAAATGAAGAACATCTGTGATGCTGGCAGCCGAACACCCCAATCTTGATTTTTCCCTCCATTCGGATCACCTCTGTGACTTTGGCAGGAAAGAAAGAATTAGCAATCTCCCTGGGAAAGTACTTAACCTCCAGTCTGCTGTCTCACCTTTCATTTTTTGTGAGCCAACACTACTTCCTTCCATTCACAGTTCAAACCTACCCCATTACCTGCCTAATAAAGTGAGAGAGGAGATAATCGCCCTACTCATTATGGTAGCCAGCTTGTGCAAGTCTGTAAATACACCGCGGCTCACCATCCTGGAGCTTGTGTTACCAAGCAAGACAGAAAGTTTAACATCAGACTCAGCCTGATGCTGTCATTTAATTCATTGTGCCTTCATGAGCAGCCAGTCTCTTCTAGGGAGAGGGAACCATGTGTCTTCTCCCTCCTTGTTACTTCCATAGCTACAAGAAATTCTCTCTTTTTTATGCCTGTTTTGCTAAAGGTTGATGCATAAAATAGCAGAGGATTCCTTATGTACACCTCTACTCCAGTCCCCAGCTGGTGAATTTGCTGTTGCAGGATACTGATGTATCACTTCCAGGTGAAGGACAGAATCTTGTTTTAGATCTGCAACAGCAGTTTAGGCACTTTGGATGGATTGGATTTAGTACAGCATGGTAGATTTTGGGTTTTTCTACACAGCCCTAAGCTCAGGTTCCACTTTAGGAGGAAAGGCTCTATATCTCAAGACAACTTTTATTGATGGTTGTTGTGGGTTTTCCGGGCTGTTTGGCAGGAGTTCTGACTCCTGTCCTCTGAAGATGCCAGCCACAGAGACTGGTGAAATGTTAGGAAGAAAAATCTCAGGAACACGGCCAAATAGCCCGGAAAACCCACAACAACTATCGGATCCCGACCGTGAAAGCCTTCAACTTTTATTGACATGAGCATCTGCCTAGTTATAATTTTCATTGTATTCATATTATGTATCCTATCTAGGAATGTGCAGATCAGTCAAAACAAAAGCATGCTGCTAGTACAAGGGCAGTTGTGCCAACACAAGAGGCTTCTACCCATTCCAAACCACTACAACCAGTGCTTCTTTGCATTAGGATTGCGCTGCCTGTTGCAATTTTCATTCATTTTATGGTGTAATGGTAACTTTGGTTAGTTTAGTAGTTGCAAGGCATGGATTCAAGTAATAACATATGAGCAATATGTGCTGTTGTATGTGTCGTGCTTCTGAGAAGATACACAGGAGGGGGGTATTTTGTTGGATTCAAGTAATAACATATGAGCAATATCATGTGGTTCAGTCTCTTATGGCTCATATGCTGTTGTATGTGTTGTGTTTCTGAGAAGATACACAGGAGGGGGGTATTTTGTACATGCTAGTAGCTTATAGCCTTGGGGGGTTAAATAAAGCAATTATTGTTTTACTTTTGAGAAATAAGAAGATGAAAACTTATTTCAGGAAAGCAGAACATAGGCTTCTGTTTCTGTTTTGAAACACAGGGCTGATAGTTCATACTGGGATGAGCAGACCAGGAGAGTTGGGGGGGGAGAGAAAATGCCCACCAATTAGGACGCCATACTATTTGTGCCTTATCTCTGTGAGAACGAAAGTTCCAAGGCGAGAGATCATTACTTGTTACCAAGTTTATCTCTGTGAGAACGAAAGTTCCAAGGCAAGAGATCGTTCCTTGTTACCAAGCTAATTAGCAAAGAATGGTTTCAGGTGAAGAAAAGGGGGAGAGGACAGAAGTTACACTCTTCTTTGAAAAGGTTTAGGGTGATGCAATATCTGATTGGCACATCTCCTCAAAAGGTCTAGAAACTGGAGTTAAGGGTATAAAAATAAGAAAGAAGTTATTTAGTTTTAGCCTGGTATCTCTAAGAAGACCCCTGTGCTCATTTGCTGCCTGACTTGTACTCTGTGTATGCTTTGTAGCGGTGCTGAAGTTGTTAGTATATAACTATTAGCTTAGGATAGCTAACTTTCTTATTTTCTTGTGGGAACTGTTCTGGAATTGTTTGCCTCAACACTTTTTAAAATTCTTGCTTGCTCAACAGCTTTTGACCTCTTTCTGTAACTTTTGAAACTGTATGGAAACTTTATAGTTTTTCACTTTTTTCAGCATATTTATTAACAAATACAATTGTACAGTCACTTGGTTGTTTTGGGAATAAAAGGGTTGTTGATACTAAAGACAGGCCTATTAAATTCCTGTGTATTTTGTGGATATTTTCACACTCCTACCTTGCAAGGTTGGTGAAAGAGACAAAGTATTTAATCTTGTGGATTTTTTGTAACTCCCTGGAAAACTCAATAGTAAGAGTTACTCAAAGTGTCTAGAGAGATAACAGGCAGGAACACTTCTCACATCCATCAGCACATTTGGTCATTCTGGAGCTTACCCATACCAGGAAAGTCTGGCCAGTGTTTCTGAGTGGCTAGTGTGGGCCTCTTTGACCCTGCATAACCTTGACAAGTTACATTTAAAAACTGCAAATACAATGACAGCTAACAATTTGAGGGTAGGATTGAGTGAATAAAACCCCCTCAATTTTCAACATTTGAGGATATTTGTTTGGGTTCTGTCATTTCCCTTATTTTGCTCATTAATTAATTAATATTTTATTTTGGGGAAAAAATTAGCCTCTTAAAAACATCGTTCCTATATGCCAAGAGATCATAAATCCTGGTCACATACAAAGAAAGTCTAGTTACAGGGAATCACAGAATTCACTTTAGCTTTTACAGGTTAAAGTTAATGATATGACATAGGTACTCAGGAGTGGGGGGAGGGGCTTGGTAGAGAGTTGTAATCACCTGACCTTCATACATTTTGTTTCCTTACTTTTAAATTTTAAAATATTTTTGTTGCTGTTTAGTTTTTTTTGAAGGGACAAACTGGCTATCTGTCTCAGACGTTCAAAGCCTAAATTGCTTTTCTTTTAAATAAGGTACAATAAAGTATCTGGCTTGCAATATTTAGTGCTGGAGTTATGCCAAATTATATTCATAAACACGACAAGCACATGGATTTGATTTTAATGTGGCCAAGATAGTCAGAACATCTTGGGAGACACTCTCAAAATGGAAGAACATGAATTCTCAGCCCACAGATTTGTGATAGGAAAAAAAAAGGCAAATCAGCTGAAAATTCTCTAGCCCTTAAATAAGAATTCCCGGTGTTATTTCAGGGTGCCTTAGAATGAAAAGAAAAGTTGATTAAAAGTAACTTGGCCAGAAACTCAGTCATGAGTGGAGAAATTGATAGGGTTGGAAGTGTTCAGCCTGGAAAATATAGCATAGAGGACAGATAATTAAAGTGGTGCCTCACACAACAATGTTAATTGGTTCCAAAAAAATCAACGTTGTGTGAAACATCATTCTGTGAAACACCATTTCCCATAGGAATGCATTGAAAACTGGTTAATCCATTCCAGTTGGAACAGATTGCCGTCCTTTACATTTAAAAACTGCAAATACAATGACAGCTAACAATTTGAGGGTAGGATTGAGTGAATAAAACCCCCTCAATTTTCAACATTTGAGGATATTTGTTTGGGTTCTGTCATTTCCCTTATTTTGCTCATTAATTAATTAATATTTTATTTTGGGGAAAAAATTAGCCTCTTAAAAACATCGTTCCTATATGCCAAGAGATCATAAATCCTGGTCACATACAAAGAAAGTCTAGTTACAGGGAACCACAGAATTCACTTTAGCTTGAATGATATGACATAGGGACTCAGGAGTGGGGGGAGGGGCTTGGTAGAGAGTTGTAATCACCTGACCTTCATACATTTTGTTTCCTTACTTTTAAATTTTAAAATATTTTTGTTGCTGTTTAGTTTTTTTTGAAGGGACAAACTGGCTATCTGTCTCAGACGTTCAAAGCCTAAATTGCTTTTCTTTTAAATAAGGTACAATAAAGTATCTGGCTTGCAATATTTAGTGCTGGAGTTATGCCAAATTATATTCATAAACACGACAAGCACATGGATTTGATTTTAATGTGGCCAAGATAGTCAGAACATCTTGGGAGACACTCTCAAAATGGAAGAACATGAATTCTCAGCCCACAGATTTGTGATAGGAAAAAAAAGGCAAATCAACTGAAAATTCTATAGCCCTTAAATAAGAATTCCCTGTGTTATTTCAGGGTGTCTTAGAATGAAAAGAAAAGTTGATTAAAAGTAACTTGGCCAGAAACTCAGTCATGAGTGGAGAAATTGATAGGGTTGGAAGTGTTTAGCCTGGAAAAGATAACATAGAGGACAGATAATTATAGTGTATAAATGTGATCCTGTGGGTAAATTAAGAATTAAGAATTAAAATAGGTGGAAATTGGAAGGAAGCAGGTTTTGGCTAAACATTAGGGCACGAATGGGCAGATTTCACAGGTTGAGAGGCCAGTGATCTGAAGATCTGCCACATGCTGAGTCACTGTCTCATAATGAAACTGGAGAATGTTGAATAGTCAAGGGCCGCTCTGGGATGATGGTGGTACTGCTGCTTTTTAAGTGGAGGCTAAATGTCCATCCGTCAGGGATGCTGTACTTAAACCCTCCAAGATAGATCTTGACTACAGGACCTTGGAACCCTTCCGTCTCAAAGATTTTGTTATTCTAACTGTATAGTCTGTTTGGTCGGTTTGCTAACTAACATACTTTAATATTATAGCATTGAACAGGGTGCAAACTATGATTAGATATGAACACCAATATTCAAACAACAGGCAGTGGTTATGTCTAACCTAAGTATTAACTGTGCAAGAAAAAAATCTATTTACTAGCAAAAATTAGGCTGGTCTAAGCTTCATCCTGGCTTCTTGCATTTTTCAGGTCTTCCAAGGGAACACCAACGCTGACAGTGTTGTACAGCACAAGCTTCTGCACTCTGTAAAGGCTCATTTTGTGCGCTTTGTTCCTCTTCAATGGAATCCAAGCGGAAAAATAGGACTGCGGGTAGAGGTCTTTGGGTGTTCATACAGTAAGTGTTTGGCACAATATGTCACAAATATCATTTTTCTATTGAACTGGCAGAAGCCATTTTGTAAAGTTTCCAGGAAGTTTCCTCTGTTGTAAGACTATTGCACATGGAAACAAAACAACAACTACAACAACAAATTGGCTTCACAACTGGCCATAAACTAAATAAATTAAAGCTATAGTCCTAGTTTTGGCTGAGTTACCTTTAAACCTTTATTTCCTAGAAAACGTCTACTTGTCACATTTTTATTTTGTGTTATATATACCTTGAAAATCAGACATTGAAAAATTATTTCTGTACATTAGTTATATAACTTGTTGCAAAGTCCAATTTGTTAAAGTAGTTATTACCTGCCTGCCCCCTTATTAGCTTATTATATTACCTGTTTGATTTCCCCTTTTCTTACTTTTGGGAGATGGAATGTAGGCTTGGTAAGAAAATAGAATAATGCTTAGGAGGGGAAAAAAAGGCTCAGAAATGCCTTAAGAAGTAGTTAAAAAAGAATTTGAACAGGAAAACATAACTCAATACACTAATTAAATTAATATAATCTTATTTGCTATTTTTGAAAGATAGAATTGGTACACCTTAGTTACACCGCTCCCCACCCCACCAAAGGAAGAAATCATAGATAACAACATGAGTTGTTAATACAACATTGACACATTATAACACACATTGATGTAGCCCAGTGGTTCTTAACCTTGTGTTTTCTTGGACTACAACTCGCAGAAGCCTTCACAACAAGTTGTATTGAATGTAATTCTTGGACTACAACTCTCAGAAGCCTTCACAACAAGGTGTATTGAATGCAGTTGCAGTCTGAGTACACACCTGGGCTACCAAAGGTTGGGAATCAGTGATGTAGCCCATACTGTTGCAGATATAAAATTGACATCCACGCCTTTTTTAAAATTGTGTCTTCTGCTACATATGGACACTTGACTTTTAAATGAATATTTAGTAATTACAAAACATGTGTCCCTGATTACCTTGGAATTAATTCAGTCAAGGCAGTTTTAAAAAAGCTTCAGCTTCAGAAGTTATTATTATAATAGATTTGTTCCACTAAGGCTAATTTATTTTTTTCACTAACAAATAACTGAAAGTGTGTATGTCTGTGTTGTGTGTACACATACATACATGCATACATACATACATACATACATACATGCATACATACATACATACATACATACATACATACATACATACATACATACATACATACATGTTGGAGAAGCTGCAGATTTAAGAAAATGTCCAAATAATGCAACATGAAAACAGATGCCCTGGGGAATCCGAACACTGCAAAAACCAACAGAACCATTAAGGTGAAGTGTGATCGGAAAGCTAGAAAAAGAAGAATCAAATAGTCAAAATGTGATTCTTCTTTAGCTAATTTTACTTTGTCTGATATGCCTTGGTCTTGAGTTTTCATAGAATCGGTAAGTCAAAAAGCACATCCTTTCTATACATTTGGGTTTCATGAGCCTTCTTCAGGTCTCTGGTTCTCCTGTGGGAAAAGACATACAGTACTATCCTCAATGACATAGGCACCAGCCACTCTCACAACAAAGCAGTGAAACCTCAGGTTTCCGAGTTGCTCTTTACAGCTCTCTGTCCTGATCTTACCTTAATTTTCCTTCTCACATCTTGCCAATGGATGACACTTAGGGTGAATGTGGGGACCGTTAGTTGGAAAGTAAGACTGCACCGTAGGAGAGGGTATCATGGGAGAGTTTTTGTTTTCGGAACAGCTGTGCTGGGAGGTAGGGAAACGAATCCTCATCTTGTCCTGCTGCAAAGGGTGAGGAAATGTAAAATTATTTTCCTCACCCTGTGGGAGTTATTTTGCTGCACTCTCCAGAAGAGAACAGATAGTGCAAATTAAACAAGGTTGTGCAAAATAATGCTTTGATCGCAATAAAGCTAGCTGGGCAAAATTATAATGGTTGACGCCTTATGGCATTGACTTAGAAGCACCAGAGGACTTGTATATGTCTTTTTAAACAATCAGGCAATTGGTCTGTGTTGTCTAATTTTGCTTTTGTGTGTTTCTCAGATGGAAAGGACATTCGTTTTATGTACAAGTTATCAATACCTTGATGTGAAAAAACAGTTCTCCTTGACTCACTCTTACCTATAAACAAGGAATTTAGCATGTCTTAGTGATTACTCATTGAGGTAAGCTGAGACAGTCTAAATCAATAAGAATGAGCAATTGAGTGAGTATTCTTTACATCTCTACAAGATGTAGATGATCCACTTTAGAATGCTTTCTCTCTTTCTTTTCTTACCTGCTTGGCTACTTCCAAGCAGGAAGAACAGATCTAGGTCTGTTTTCTTCCACTATTATTCCACATATGGGCTTCATTCTTACTGACAATAAGAACCACAGTCATATCATGTTGTGCTTTAAAAAAGACCCCATCAAGGTGTTTCCATGTCCATTATGTAAAGGGGAGCATGGATTATTTTGCCAGGGAAGCATGTTTTCTGGTTGGAAAGTGACATAGAATACTTTTCCACCAGAGAGTTATTTATTTTAGCACACATGTGGAACCTGATTTATTTTAACTGTTTCTACATATGAAACTAGTTTGTCACTGCAAATTAAGCATTTGGATAACCAGTGGAGGTGGTGGGAGAGGTGGTAGCAGTGATAAGAACCACAGTCAATGGAAGGAAGGAGGAAGAGGAACAGGAAACCTAAGAGGAAGGGGAGGACACAGCCAGTCCTGGATCAAAGTTAAAATGGGCCAAGAGAATGCAGGAAAAACCAGCGGGGCTAGTTGGGAAACTGGGCTGCTGACATCATTCCATAAATGCCACTTTCCTCTGTGTGTGTGTGTGTGTGCATGCGCACGTACATGCATATGTGAGCCTGTCCAATCTTGAGGGAGGCAAGTGGGAAAGTCTGAAGTCCAGGGTTGGAGGAGCAAAGATCTTCCGGTCCCTAGCAGCTCTATCTCTCTATGCCTCTTTTCCTACATTCTGCTTCTCTCTGCCTTGGAGGGAACAGTAGGAGCATTCTCAAAGGGACAGAAGCAGCCGGGTTTTGTCAATGGACAAGCAGCTTTGCCATCAGACCCTCCTTCTCCCTTACCTCACCACAGCAGCAGGGGTGAGTGGGCAGCAGGAGGGCAGGACAGGTGCAGGACAAAGCCTCAAATGCAACCATCTTCAAAGCCAGTGAACCCCTCTCAACTGAGACATAACACAGCTTTAAAATGAATTTAAAGTTTTTCCAAGAAGACTCACACACTGACGCAAATGCCAGGTGATTCCCATGTGATTTCCAAATTGATTCTATTTACAGTGGAGCCTATTGCAAAGCAAATGTAAATCCATCATCCATGCACACAAAAGTTTTCCAAATTAAACTCAGGAGAATAATCCCTTACACATTCCCATTTGAGATGGGGAGACAATAGAGGAAACAGAAGGATTATGGATGAGTAGACACTGGTTGGGGACAGCAGCAGAAGGTGGCATGTTTAAGCCTTTCCTACTCAAAGTTGGGCTTGATCCTACTGACAGTAAAAATGTTGTTGTTTTAAATAAGGTGTCTCTGCGACATGGATTACTTTGTCAGGGAAGTGTGTTTTCTGGTTGGAAAATGATGTAAAATACTGTTTCACTAGAGGGTCATTTATTTTAGCATGGGTATGAAACCCTGATTTATTTAAATTGTTTCTGCTTATCTAAACAGATTGCATCTTTGGATAACCCACAGTAGTGATGGGAGAGGCAGCAGCAGCAGCAAGAGCTGCAGGTGGGGATGGGGGAGGAAGGAGGGATGTACAGGTACAAGGACCCTGGGTATAAGGAGAGGACACAGTCAGTGCAATGTTGGGATAGTGAAGAGCTGTCTTCAGGCAACAGATGGATCAGAGGCACAGATCCTCAAGGATCCACATGATTTTTTTAATCTAGGATCATCCTCCAGTCTCAGTCATAAGCACCATCTCTGCCCATAGACTATGTAGTGGCTTGTGGCAAAGCTCATGTTAAAATCATGGGGATTCAGGAGGATCCATGCTTGGATCAGTGTTTTTGCACCACTGCAAAGCCAGCCCCCCTTCATTTCTATGATGTATTCTGTGAGCATAAATGGGAACAGCTGGAGTATTCTTTAAAAGATAGGATCAGCCAAGCTTGTTAATGGGACAAGCAGTTTTGCCCTCTCCTTCCCTCATCTCATCCCAGCAGCAAGTGGCCAGCATGAAGACAGGGTGGGAGGGTGAAGGACAAAACCTCAAATGCAACAATTTTATTTGCTTTCCTAAGTTTCCCCAAGTTGAATGTTGTGGGTTTTTTGGCCTCTTTGGCCGTGTTCTGAAGGTTGTTCTTCCTGATGTTTCACCAGTCTCTGTGGCCTGCATCTTCAGAGGACTGGAGTCCAATGATCTGTCCATGATCTGAAGATGCTGGCCACAGAGACTGGCAAAACATCAGGAAGAACAACTTTCAGAATATGGCCAAAGAGCCTGAAAAACCTACAACAACCATCAGATCCCGGCCATGAAAGCCTTTGAGAATACATTCCCCAAGTTTTCCCAAGAGAATGAACACACCGACCAAAATACCATATGACTATGACATGATTCCTATATTGATTCCATTAGGAATGGAGCTTATTGTGAGGTAAATGTAAATATAAACAAGCCCTTAGATATTTTAATCTCTCAATCATATTTTGTTGCAGAATTCACATGGAATTACTCTTACAAAATGGGCACTAACAATTCGATATTTCAAAAACACTCTGGTTTATAAATGTCGGGTATTGTGCTTCCTTTACCCATGATTCAGAATGTCAGAAAATGGCCTGATGTTGCTTCACAATATTGTGCCCATGCTGCCACCAGAAAAAAGGATGCTGAGCTTTAAATAACAAGAGGTAGTCTGAATGTTGACAACACCAGTGGCAGCAGTCAAAATGGTCTACAGGATACCCTCTTCTGCTCACTACCTTTAACAAAGTAGCAGCAAGC